TCGGTTATTAGGACGACTTCCTGAATGTTGCCATCTTATACTGCTAAATCCTTATATGATATATATTTGTACATCGGTATATCTTTAAGCATGACAATCCTGCATTTGAACGAGAGTTAATTTTGATCATATGTAACAGGTGTATTTTATTCTTACCGGTCAAATGGTTTGCTTGATTCGGTAGATTTGACTGCGGCTAACCGACCTGAGTTGCCGACACAAACATACCGGTCACTCTGCAGATGGTGGTTATCATTGAACTAGTCAGTTCACTCTGCTATCAAAGGAGTGCCACACAAAAAGTTGGAGGTAGTTTGTTATACACTACAGTTTTCCGTGCAGGCCACAAGATGTTAACTCCATTTCTGTTAGTCACACGACGCGGGATTGGTAAATGCTCCGGATTTCGTTCAGAATGATACCATCCGAGATCGGAAGAAATTAGGGATTATTCGCTGTTCCGCCCGAACTCGTCATCAAGCTCATCGAGTTGAAAGGTTATCAATCATATAACTTCAAGATTTTTGAATTTTCTACTTCCTTTTATTGAATACACAATGATACAATTTTCAGGAAGGGGAAGCGACCAATCAAAGGGCTGCCATGGGGAAAGTCAAGCGCTGCTTGGTGGAATTTGAACACACGTCCCTCGAGGTGGTAATTTGGTGAAGTTACCACCAGGCCACCACCGCCCAAAGTTATCACCAGTTTAATGAAAGTAATTTTGAATCTGTGAAAATTCTAAAAACGGTATGTGGGTCTCACTAAATAACTGGGAATTGGTGAACTGGAAAACATTAATACCCTAATATGGATTATGGGTGCGTAATCGGACGCGGTGAACCTATGGTTAAACTGCTGCTGTTCTATCTGTACGCACTCCGAACCTTGTTCAAAACTTATTCATGAACAGTGAAACGCCAAGGCATTGGATACATCCTAAATTCCCCCCGTAGGAACCTTTTTGCTCATGGTGTGACGGTACACGGAACTCCTGCTGAGTGATTATCGTCAAAATAACAGACTATTTCTATGGAACTGTACCGGATTGACGTCCGATGATAGAGTGACTCGCAGATACCGAAAACCGAATCCGCGTCAGAACACAAGGCTGGTAAATCTACGTGTACTGTTGTATAATCAACCATGAATTAATGGAAATACAACGGCTTACCTCAAATTAGAGGCAATCCGGTCTGGACAAAACAATCGGTTAGATACGACAAGGGCAAACGTGCCAAGAAAACACTCTCTTGGAAATCGGAGGGATGCGATGTGGATATGGNCTAAGTATCTTGTGAAGTGTGCATTTCAATGTCAGAAATACGTAAGCAGTGGCATTTGATTCAAAGGAATCGGTTTC